ACTGATTATCAGTATTTGTATTTCTCCGTGTTAATTATTTCTGGGCTTTAAACATTAAACATCTGACAGCACATGTGGAGCAGTATTGATATCGTTTGGGTTTTATTTCGCTTCAGGCACGCTACGGTCTGTCAAACAACATCTTTATAACGAGCATATTTTCCATCTTGGAAACAGCTGAAACTACTCATATTGTGACATCTTCAAAGCTGCAGAAGAAGAGTTCCCGTCACAAAAGATGATGCCAAGATCCAAAAAAAGTCTCTGCAGAGGTCGGTCAGAAAATAGGACAGAAACGTTTCCTGCTGCAGTCGCTGCAGGTGTTTGAGTTTACGTGGCTCATCTGGTTTTGTGCTACAGTTGAATTTTAGAGACGTTGTCGTGTTAAACCGTAATGAATCGCGTCTCCTCTAAAACGGGTCAGTACCGCGTCACTGAGTTCAAGCCACAGCATTCGTTCAGGTCAGTGTAAAGTAACAGAGAAAGACATCATGTACTTCCTCGTATTACTGTGTGAAAATCTAATCATCTATGACAGATTATCCACTGCAAATTAAAGAAGAAAAACTGGTGTTTGCACGGCTGACAGCCAAGTTAAAGGTAAACTTAGTGAACTTATATGCAACACCATTACTCTGGTAATTAAGAAAGAAAAGAAGCTACTCAAACGTCGCCCGTTTATCGCAGCAGCTCATCCCTGCTACCCTTAGCTTCCCTTTTCCTGCTCTGTCCCTCCCTCGTTTCTTCCCCGTCTCACTTTCCCGGGAGAGGCTGACAATAGGTCTAAATTTAACCACTCAAACCAAAGACGAGCTCAGGTCAACACTCGCAGGAGAGCTGCACTGGAAAAACGAAGAGAACAGAAAACGTTCACAGATCAGAGGCTGATTGCGATGACTCCAAGTGTTCTTGTAAATTGGAGAAAAGGCAATGAGACTGACGATCCTTACAGAAACAGGCAGGGGGCGGGGCTTAAAGCATCTAAAACTACGGCGGTACATTGGGCACCGAGGGGGAACTGCCTCGTCATTTTTCCTTCAACAGGTGGCAAACATTTGTCATTATCAGTGCTGCCAACCACTTGCCTATACATTACTTTTTGTGCCAAGTGTAAATCGATGAGTTAGCCAAAAGCTGAGGCCAACAATCCCATTTATCTGACATCCAAATGATTTCTGTCTTTGTGGCTTTGGTTGATGAATCACTAAATCAAATATACAGCAGTTAGATATCTGATAAAAAGCACTGCTGGTAACTGGAAACACTGTTTCCCTCCTCACCACAGGAGGTGGCCAGTTTCACGTAACTGCTTCTTAAAATGTTTGAAGCTTCGTCGCAGGCAGGCGCAGCATCGCTGTCGCATATAACCTCTTTATAATTTTGATCAGCGCTACACAGTCCGAAGACCTGGCACGTTGTTCAGACCCAGACACCAGCATTTCGCGCTGACTAATCGCTGCCAATGTTTGATTCCTCCTCGTATTTGTTCCCAAATGGTAAAAATAACCATAAAATAGAGAAACGCATTTAAAAAAGCAACGCTGAAACATTTAGAAGTAAGAAAGATGAAAAAACACATTTTAATAAATGTGCTTATCACGCTCGATGATGCACTGAGCACCGGGGTATCAAAGATGCACGTTTCTTTTGCCCCACCCCTGTATTGTGTATCCTCAGAGATCTGCAACCTGCTGTGAACACCCACAGCCTGCTGGCCAGACAGCCCAGAAGCTTCTACAGGAAGAGGAGCACTGCCACTGAAAATTATTTAATCATGGTTGATAAATCAGGAAATACTGATGGGGGTGGGAAGGAAGGTAAAGGCGAGGACAAGTCGGCCTTCAAATATAAATACAAACGATCCAAGTTCCATTCTTTGTCTCCAAATTCATCGACAGCATGGAGATGATGTGAAAGATCGGTGCACATTTTACTCTAAATATATTATTTTCTATACGCCAAAATGAAACATGACTAAATGTTAGCAGACAGTATAAACGTGATATTTAAAAAGGTTTCTCTTCAAACTTGTACGCATGCTAAATCTCTGTGCATACAGGCCCCCGTCTCCACTGCTAATGACAGTCACGCCATCTATGCATAAAGGTAATCTTATTTTATACTCGTTCAAATCAGAACATCTGAATTTTCACTCTTTTGAGCCAGCTTCATGCTTATAACACTATACGAACAATATTAAGATACCGAGTCGACGCAGAAACGTGTGATTTCCAGGAATCTAGAGGTTACAGAAGGGCACGTTCAACGAGCCGACGGGGAAAAGCCTCACTGTGGAAGTCATTATGAAGCAAAGCAAAAACATTTAGCATGACAGAACGAACCGACCACTGCCTGAGTGTGTGTGTGTGTGTGTGTGTGTGTGTGTGTGTGTGAGTGTGTGAGTGAGAGAAACCCCACCCTTTCACTCTTTCACTTCCTGTGTGGTGAAATAGAAATAAAGAACATAAATATAACATGTCAGTATAAATGATCAGAGTGCCTCACATTCACAAATGACTCAATCACCTCCATCATCATGTATGTCCGCACACTGTAGCACAGCAGAGAAGACATGACAAAAAGTAAGACGCACAAAGCCCATACCCATCAGTGACTGAGTATATGTGTGTATCCATGTATGTATGTGCAATACTCACTCATGAGGAGCCTTTCTGCCTGTCTGGCAGACAGACGAGAGGGAGGACGAGACAAGGAAAAGTAAAAAACTGGTTTTCAGTTCTTTGTCTGAGCCTAGGTACGCCGGCTCTGACAGCCCATCGCCCCTTCGCCTCTCCATCCCACCGTGTCACCGTGCCAGGGCAGCAGCGGCGGCCGCCATGCTGGGGCGTGTTCCCTGTGCCCCGTCGAGCCGGCATGGCGGTCCGCTCGCAGCCTTTTCCCCGTTCAAAGCAGGCCAGTGACTCTGGTGCGTGAGCCGGAGAATCGAGTGAAAGTGCCACATCAAGACTCGCTGGAGGTTGTTTTATTGTCGGAGGGCTGTACCAACTGAGCGTTCAGACACAGGGGGAACCCGCGAGAAAGAACTATGGATTCATATAGAATATCAGTTCCTGCCATC